GATAGGTAGATAGATAGAGACAGGTAGACAAACAGATAGATATGGAAGTAGATAGAGATAGAGGTAGGTAGATAGATAGATACATACATACATACATATAGGTAGAAAGACAGATAGATGTGATGATAAGTAGAAATGATAAAGATCATGATATTAGCTATAGACAGACATATTTAGATAGAGATGATGATGAAGGAAAAGATAGAAATGGTGGTGATATATAGATATGGTAGAAATAATAGAGAAACAGACAGAAAAAGGTGATGATGACAAACAGATAATAGGGATCATGATAATATAAAAAGACATATATAGATAGGATAATGAAGAAAAAGATAGATGGTGGTGATAGATATACAGATATGAAAGAAATGATAGATAGAATAGATAGATTTTATCCATGCTTGGAGGGATAAAATAGATAGATAGATAGATAGATAGATAGATAGATAGATAGATAGATAGATAGATAGATAGATAGATAGATAGATATAGGTAGATAGATAGACAGATGATAGATAGGTAGACAGATAGACAGATAGATAGATATAGAGGTAGATAGAGATAGAGGTAGATAGAAATAGATATAGGTAGAAAGACAGATAGATGTGATGATAAATAGAAATGATAGAGATCATGATATTAGATATAAAGACATATTTAGATAGAGGTGATGACAGAGAAGATAGAAATGGTGGTGATATATAGATGTGGTAGAAATAATAGATAGAAAAATGTGATGATGACAAATAGAGATAATAGGGATCATGATGATACAGAAAGACATATATAGATGGGATAATGAAGAAGAAGATAGATGGTGGTGATAGACATATAGATATGAAAGAAGTGATAGATACATAGAATAGATAGATTTTATCCCTGCTGCAGGGATAAAATACTTAGATAGATAGAGATATAGATAGGTAGATGGATAGATAGAAGAATAAAGGAATAAACAAAAACAAGATAAACCGGTGAGAGAGAGGGCACAACAACTGAGGGAGGGGAGGGAAAGAGAAGGCTTCACAGAGGAGGTGAGCTTTGAAGGAAGATAAGAATCATGAGTGGTAGAGTTGAGGAGGAAGTGTGTGCCAGGCTAGGAGGTTTGGTGCAAATGCTTCTCAACTTTGAAGCGTCAAGTTCAGGTTACAGCTAGTACTGGTCAGTTTGTCTGCAATGTTGAATCAGATTATAAAAGGAAGGACAGGCTAAAGAATTGAGGATATTCTGCCCCTCTAAGGCAATAGAAGGGTAGAACTGGAGTCTTTTGAGCAAAAGTAATAGTCAGATATATGTAGAATCATAGATTTAGAGCTAGAAGGGACCTCAGGGAACCACTGAGTCCAACCCCCTCACGGGACAGATGAAGATCTGAGACCCAGAGAGGTGAAATGTTGCCCAATATCATGCAAGAAGTAAGTAGCAGAGAAACCCCACATCTAGAGCTCTTTCTACTGGACTGCACTTGTGCTTTGGGATGACTATTTTGACATCCATGTGAAGGAGGAGCTGGAGAAGGGAGAAGCTGGGGGCAAACAAAGGGAAGAATTATAAGACTATATTACAGTGGCTCTGGTGATGGTCAGTTAGGTGGCATCATAGTCCAGAGAGCTGGACCGGAGTCAGGAGGATCTGAGTTCAAAACTGGCCTCAGATACTTATTAGCTGTGTGACCCTATGCAAGTCATTTAACTGTTATCTGCCTCAGTTTACTTATCTATAAAATGGGAGTAATAATAGCGCCTACCTTCTAGGGTCTTTGTGAAAATCAAATAAGATATTATTTGTAAAATGCTTTCTAACCTTAAAGCCCCACATGATTGCTAGCTATTATGACCAGGGCCTGAATTAGGATGGCGTGAGATACCAAGTTCAGAGTGTGGCTAGTACTGGTCAGTTTGGCCTGTTACTGGAGAGAAGGGAAGATCTATCATGGAGGTAAAAATCAACAAGAGTTGGCAACATGATTAAATATGGAAGGATGAGGAAGATGAGTCAAGGATGAGTAATGAAGTGAACTTGGGAGACTAAGACAATGGCAGTGCCTTTGGCAGAAATAGGAAGCTTTGGAGGAGAGGAGGGCTTAGGGGAAAAGACAATGAGGCTCATTTTAGATATATTGAGTTTGAGATGCCATCTTGAACTTCAGGTGGAGATGTCCAGCAGGAAGCTGGTGATAGAGGACTTCAGTTATGAAAGAGATTATTGGCCAAGTATACATATTTGAAAGTCATCTGAACTGAAATGGTCTTTGAACCCATGGGAACTAATGAGGTCACCAAGAGAGAGAACATAGAGTGAGACATAAAAAGAACCAAGAAAAGAACCCTGAAGGACAGCCAGGCTTAGTGAGTGGAAGATAGGTGATGATCTGGGATACTGAAAACGATAAGTCAGATAAGCAGAAGGAGAAAGAAAAGAGAGAGCAGAGTCTTGGAAGTCAAGGGAAGGGGAAATATGAGGGGAAAAGGGATAACAAGCATTGTTAAAAGCTAAAGAGGGGTAGCTAGGTGACACAGTGAACAGAGCACCAGGTCTGCAGTCATGAAGATCTGTGTTCAAATCCGTCCTCAGACACTTACTAGCTGTGTGACCCTGGGCAAATCACTTAACCCTGATTGCCTAAAAAAAATTTTAAAAGCTAAAGAGATGTGAGGGAGGATTGAGGCCTTAGGAAAGACTAATGGATTTGGCATTTAACCTTGGTAGCCTTGGATAAAGCAGTTTCAGTCAAAAAGTGAGATCAGAAGCTTGTTTACAAATAGCTAAGAAATGAGTGGATGGTGTGGAAGTGAAGGCAACAAGGGCAGACATGTCTTTCTGTGAGCTTGGAAATAAAATGGAAAAAAGATAGAGAATACTGATTAGAGGGAATGATAGGGTCAAGTAAAGGTTTTTTAGGATGGGGTGATGAGAGCTAGTTTATCCACAACCAATGGGAAAGGAGAGAATGAAAAGGAAGGAAAGGTCATTTGGGCAAACTCTCAGAGAATATGGGATAGGGTTGGGATCAAGGACATAAGTAGAAAGGTTAGAGAAAGGAAAAAAGGCAGGTGAAAGAGCCCATCTCTTCCTCAGAAACTGGAAAAAGAAGTTAAGAATAACTGACGATGTATAGGGGATTTGGAGGTGTGGAATATTTGAAATGAGCAAACTCAAGATAAATGACCTCAATTTTTTAAGTAAAGAGAAAAGTGAAGCCATCTGTTGAGACAGGGAGATGAAAAAGATATAGGAGACGTGAGGAGAGAGAGGGTTTGAAACACCCATTTTGGGGCGTGTGATAGAAATATATAATCAGAGCAGAGTAAAAGGATTGCTCCATGACAGTGAAGGTCCATTGAGATGAGAATAAAATGAATTTGTAATGGATGCTCTTGGCTCAGTTACACGACTTCCTCTAGTGTTGTATAGTAATATGGGAGTAGGAGTGGAGAAAGCAGATGGTGACAATGAACCAAGGTTGAAGATTGATCTGAGCCAGTTTAGACTAGGTCTTTAAAGCCAATTGTTAAATTTTTAGCATGAGCATTCATACCTCAGAAATGCCACAGATTAGGGCTTAATTTATTGTTTTGTGGATTGTCTGAACTTAAAATGATAAAGACAATGTTAATAAAACAGATTAAATTTAAAAATATGTCTTCAGCACATTTTTCTTTTTTGTTAAACAACATTACTAATTGCTAATTGCATTGTTGATACTCCTGATTGGCCAGGAAGGTAAAATATCAGTAGCGGTAAAAACAGGAGGAGAAGGGATTCAAGTGTAGAGTTGAACTGATCCACTCTAGGAAAGCAAGGTCAGGATGTGTGTGGTGCATAGGGATAGAGGGAGCAGAAGCAAAAGATGAGTTTAGGAGGTGTAAAGCTGAGGGAGAAAAGAAAAGATAGGAAATTATGATCACAATGAGGAATTTCAGAATTCAAGATGTCAGACGTAGCACAATTATGAATGGCAGACATATCTAAGTATAGCCATCCCTGTGTGTGGCTGAGGTTGAGTGAACTTGAAGGTCTTAGGAGCTGAGAAGGCTGTTTAAATAATAGACTAGAGTGGTTAAGGAGTTAAGTGGTTCAGTATTTACATTGAAGTCCTCAAGTCTGAAGTACAACCTGAAGTCAATTTTATAATTTAAAGCACTCCAGTTCCAATTTAGAGCACTCCAGAGAGCAAAAAGAATCACTTCTTTTCCAATTTGTTGGGTTTGAGATGCCAAAAGACATCTGGGTAGAGATGTCCACCAAGCAGTTGGCTATGTGGAAGTGAGATTCCACAACACTGGGCATATAGATTTGGGTGTTATCTGCATAGGAAGGATTACTGAAACTCACCACCACCACCACCAAAAATCAGATTAGATCACCCAGGGAAAGACCTCAGAGTGAGAAGCATCCAGGCCCATGGAAGAGCCTTGAGGCAATATGCTCTTTTAGGGATGAGAAATAGATAATGATCCAGACAGAAAAGAGCAGTCAGAAAAGTCTGAGGAAAAACAGAAAAGTGCAGAATTCCTGAAATCAAGGATAAAAACTGTCAGAGGAGAGGGTGAATAAAACTTTGGTAGAAATGGTATGCTCAGTATAGACTCGTGGCCATGACCTCTCCACACGCTTGTAGTTACCTATTCGTTTCAGTGTAGTTGGGTTTCCTTAGAAAGAAGACTTGTCTGTCAGTTACGTTATAGTGAGGACTCTTTTCTTGCTCAGATTGGGTTAGGTGAGTGCTAAGGTGCCTTCTAGCCCTTAAATTCTTTACTTATGTGATATGACCCTTCTTTCATGTATAAACTATAATTTGTTTAATTGTCTGCTAGCCCATTAATTGCAGAGAAGGTAAGTATATTTCTGAAGAAAAATATTTGCAAAGCAATGAATGATTAGAAACAGCCTCTGGGGAAACATGGGAATGGACCATTATTCTCAAGATGCTCAGTTAATTAACTTGGTTTCTTCTTGTTGAGACACATTCTTCCTTAGCATGGAATCACCCACAGTGATTGACATCAAGTTGGACAAACCACAAGAACCCCCAGCTAGCGAAGGTGGATGCTCCTGCTAATACAGAGCCCTGGATTGGTCAGCTTCATTTGACACTACCCGCTTCTTCTGTTGCTTCCTATTGGTTAGCTTCCTAAAAGAAAAAAAAAGTTTATCAAGATGGGAGGATTTTTTTTTTCTCTCTGTCTCTTGTGGGTGGGATGGGATGGGTAAGGGAGGGTGGGTGTTGGGACTCATGTCACTCTTAACAGCTGTTACTTAAACAACTATTTTTTGGTTTGGTTGTAATATATTGTACTTTATTAAGATTGCCAAAAACTGTTAAAATTAAAAAAATTTAAATCATGTGTATACAACTTTTTGCCAGATGAAAATGTAGTCATTTTTATTTGAAAGAGGTTGGGCCTTTTGTTTTTGTATATTTGTAAACTTATAGAGAAGATCACCCCCCTTCTACATTCTGTCCTTCCTACATCATTTGACCTTCCTCTCCCTGCCCCCAACAACTCCTCCTTCCCATACTCCTTAACCTCTCACTCCCCCCCCCCCCCCCCCCCTCCTGTCCATTATAAATAAATAAAACCAGGCAACTTGATTAAGCTCTGACCCCGGGCAATCTGACCCAGAACATGTCCCCCTAGTACAGACTCCAAGTGGTTAAAACCAAACACTGACTCTAAAAAAGCATGCGGCCAAGTACAGCTGTAATTATGTCTTTACTCCTCTTCTGTGGCCATATATATTTATATACATGTATATCAGCTATTGAAACAGGCCTGGGCTGTAAGCCCTGAGCCTCAGAGAAAAGCTGCTTTGATGGTCCATGGGAAATCTGGCAGCAGGCCTAAAGGGATCAGAATCAACTTTCTCTTGCCTCTCTATTGCATCCCCCTGAAAACCTGCTAGGGGAGTCTGGAGTATATTTTGCTAAATGGGACATGGTTGGATTTGAGGAGTAAGCGGACAGCAGGAGGAAGCAGTTATCTTGGCAAATGTGGGTGGGACCAATGTAAATTTTACAGGCTGGTGAAAATATCCACAGGCCTGAACATTTTCCTGACCTAGCTGCCAAACTGATATACATGTATATTTGGATCCATTATAAGGGATGTGCAGAAAGAAAAGAAAATGTTTGATGTTGAGCAGTGTACGACACTTGCTTTCTCCATGAGTTCTGGATGATTGGTGAACTCAAGATCAGTGGGATGAAGTGTGTCCCAAGCTCACTATTGTGTATCATACAGTATTATTCCATACATGATTTTGGGGTGGGGGGTGGGGAGGGCATGGTATCTGCAGAACTACTATAGGAATAAATGTTTTTAGACCTTTAGTTGCTAATATTGTTGGGTACGGTTCTACAAAAACATTATTTCTTGATGTTTTTTCATTCCACTTGTGTAGTATAAACATGATCTATACGCACACACTGTCATGAATATCAAGGTTACACTGTTGTCACTTTATGGCATGGTTGAGCTGCAGGGACCTTGGATGGCCTGCGTAGGGGAGTGGTGCTGGTGACATCCACACCTTTCAAGGAGAGCTGTGCTTGCCATTTTTGATTCACTCCTGAGAAAGGCTCAGTCCCCAAGACCATTTTAACACCTTTGGAAATGTCTTTTATAAGCTAAGTAGCATTTCCCCATGGGCCAGCCATGCTAATGAATATGGATGGGCCCATGAAGCCAAGGCCAAGGAGAAATGAAAACTCAGCCTTAAAGAAATCTGGCTGTACACAAAACTAGAAACTGTAACCCCCCAATGTGGTCCCGACTTAGAATATCTTCAGGCTACTGATGCATTTTCACTGGGAGATGGGAAATGAAAAAGCAAATACAACCTTTTAGGCAGTCTAATTGGATTTCTTTAAGAATTCCTCCATAAGAGGGAGAAGTTCTGAATGAAAACACATCTGGAATGAAACCAATCTCAGACACCAATCCAAAATGGCACCCAACAGTTACCAAGTAGAGGAGAACTCTGTAGTACCCTCTAACATTTGTCCTGAGAGGTCTGCCCCCATCATTTCAGCATTAGGTACTGGTGCATAGGGGCTGATCTTTGAAGCGAAATTTATCTTCAGGTAAGGATAAGGGGAAACAGAATTCCCAAATGAGTTCCTCTCCCCAAAGGACAAAGATCAATGTGCTCACCAAAATCAGATGTGTCACGTGCTTAATTTTTATATATGTGTGTACATAAGTATATATACATAGTTAGATTGTGTATATGCCACACACACGTACATGCATGTGTGCATGCGTGCACACACAATGTATATTTTTGTTTCTCCTACTGTTATCAAGTTGGAATTTGCTTTGTGATGACAGTCTTGGAAAATGAAAAGTGCTGCAACTGTCAAAATAAGAGGTAATTAATATTTGTCAGATAACTTGTGAATTGTCTTGCCATCAATAAACTAATGCATTGATGTGTTCAACTAGAGGAAAAACATAGCACATGAGAATATCTCCACATTATATATACATATATATATATATAATATGTACATATGTGTGTGTGGATGCACATGTGTGGATGTGGCTCCATGCATACGCATGCCGCACACTTTACAGTGGTGCTTGGTGGAAGATCGCTTAGTTACCTCACGATACCTTAAAGGCGTTCATGTCCCTGGGTTACAATGTATGGTCTTTTATTTGCAGTGAAGTACTTGTGACCTCTGTCCCGGACAGATTTGCAGTGATCTCCACTGTGTGTTCAATGAATGAATGTATAGATTCTTTTTGCATCATAGAGTAGCATTTTTTCTCTTGTGACATTCCTGTAAAACAAGCCGAGAAAGACACTTCCCTTCATGCGTGCACAAAATCAGGGGAACAGTAACCTGTTTCCATCAGTAGCCATAGAGGAACTATGCTTGGTGCACAGTGGAAGATATAGCTTGTCTTAGTGTTGCCTGCAGCCAGCCATGGTTTTCCAGGTGTGTACACAGCAATTCCCTTTCTCTTCCTTGTGCCCTTCCCTACTCTCTCCTCTACTCTCCTTCCCTCCCTAACTCCTAACTCAGACCTTCCCCTCCCATTTGAATGCTCCTTTAAAGGTTAGGGCCTTTATTTCTTCCTATATTACTGATTTCCATTCCATGACCTTTTCCTTTCTCTACATCCCCCCCTTCTTCCATAATTCCTTCCTCATGGACTGTTGTTCCAGCAATCAAACCTCCTTCACAAAAGTGCATTTCTCCTTTTTCTCCCATCCTAACCAGGTAGCATTGCCATGCTCTTGCTTGGAGAACCAGAGTGGAACCTTGATTGAGAACACCCTGGGGTTTAATTCTACCTCAGTGATCTCTTGACTTTATCTCGGGATCTGGACCATACTTGGTCCAAGAAGAAAGCGGATCTGTTCCCTAGAACAAAGCTTCAGGAGAAACCCCTCAATATCCCGAGAAAGAATGGTTTACAAATGCTAAATCCAAATAGGATAGAGAAGGGCAAAGTTGATATCTTTTTTTAGAGATGACCTCAATCGAGTTAGTGATTTCCCCTCATAAGGATTGAGAAGAGAGGTTCCAATTTGGACAGGGTCTTCAGCTGGCCCTCAATATTTGGGTTCCAGGATGGCTAAGGTGGAATCAGGATCACAGTAGTTCCAGGACTGCAACATTTAAAAAAGTGTTTTGGGGGACTGAACCACAACCAAAATGGTCTAATGGAATGTACAAGAGACATAGTTGGGGAAGCCTGTTAAGGGTAGCATCAGAAAGTGAGTCAGTAGTCCAGACATCCGAACTGTAGTTGTGTACTCCAACTAGGGGCACCTGACCACCTTGGGTATCCGGTAAGCTTATGTCCTTTTCTACATCACTATCATTTTCACCCCTAAGCCAGCCACTCTGTTCCCTCCATCATGTCACAAGATTCTTTAATGAACATTAAGCAGAAGTTCTTTTCATCGCACCACCCCAGGGTATAGGGCCAGATTTATTCTTAGGCTGATATATCTCTCCTCATTCTGACGTATTCATTACAAATCAGACAACAGAGAGGGAACTCAAGTTTCAGGTAGGATGCTTAGTAATCTCTAAGGTCCCTTCCAACTCTGAGATTCCATTGTTCTAGGACATATATGGGAACAAGAAAAAGAAATCAGACCCCAAGAAGAAAAGAACTCAGAACTCTTAAGTCTTTGAATGGTATTTTCTGTGTAGTTCATCTATACTGGACTGGAATTAAAGACAGCTGACTTCTAAATACTCAAGTTAGAGGCATGCCATAAAATCATGGAACTTCATCCTTTGGAAGGTTTTATTACATCACACTCATGCCTTTTTATATCTTACCCTATGAGATGAGAAACAGGCAAAAAGGAGGTGGTAATATCACCTTAAAGGACTGACTGAAACACTGAAAAGTAGACTAGGAAAATAGGGGAAGGATATTATCAGAAGATACCATGTTGGTACATGGTGTTCAAGAATAGCTCAATGTAGCCACAAAGTCTTGGATTTCTAGACTACTTTTCCCCCAAAGTATGAAAACATTTTCCTGTCTCTTATTTAATTATTCTTGATACATTCCTACAAGATAAGAGGAGATAGAAATTGTAATTCTCCCTATTTCGCAGATAGGAAAACTGACAGAAGAGTGAAGTGACCTGTCCAAAGTTATGTAAGTCAGAAGTTGTTCTGGTCTCAAAAGCCAGGACTCCTCATTCTTCATCCAGTGCCCATTTATATATGTATAACTGGGGCTCTAGATTTATATACAGATGATGTGTCTATATGTGTATTATATACAGAATACATATTTTAGAGCCTTTATGCTTGGGGTAATAGGTGGAAATAAAGTCGTATTAGTCATTTCTTCATCCAACTCAATAAGTAGGAATCAGATTCTACCTAGCATGTCTGCCTAAGTCAGGAGATGATACAAGTGAGATTTGGACTCCACTCCAAAGGAAGGCGGCTTTCCATGACCATTCTGATATCCCTGAAGGTAGATAAACAGATTAGAGGACCCTCAGCATTGGCCAATGACCTAAATGTCTTAATGCTGTCAGACTGAAAAGCAGCCTGAAGATTGTGGATGTTTAAGATTTGGATAAATTTGTTTTAAAGTAAGATATTTCTAGATTCCCACCATCTTGGGTTTTATTGTACAAATTCACCTGACTCTGAACCCACTTTAAGCA